ACATATAACACAGTTTTTAAGATGTAGGTATACAGAAATAATTAAAGACTATCATACAATACTATCTTCTATAATGCATGTTTGTCTAAATGATGTATGTAACTTCTATTACAATTGTTTGATTAAATTATTTAACTCATTCAAGGAATCCGAAAAAATGATCGAAGGATTGTATAAAGCTATGGTTGCTTTAAATAGATCATCAATATGGAGTGTTTATTTGAGCTCTAAATCAAGTTTACTTAAGGTTTTTCAATGGCTCACTATTATTCTCAGTTTTTTGAAGAACAATAATTTTAATCTAGATAATTTTATGGATAAATATGATAATAATATAGTTATTATACTTAATGAAAAAGAAACTGAAATCATTGAAAAACTTCTTGACATTTTTATTACATTCTTAAAAGACATTGGTGAACTATTACGCAGTGATGTGGCACAACAGGGCGCTCGGTGTTATACAAATAAACGTTTAAATAAAATATGGGACTATACAAACAGTTTTGTCAATTCATATAATACATTGAATAATAATAAGAGTTATCTATATATTGATTGGCAATTACAAATTTTGCTTAACGCGTGTAATTATTTTGACAAATTTTGTGCAGACGTTTATAAATCTTGTTATGAAGATTTGGGTTTCAAAAAAATTTTAGACTGTCAACACAAAGAATTACATCACGATCTCATTCCATATACTGTAGATTTATCAACATAGTGTTCAATGCAGAATTAAGGCTAAGTTATATAAATATAAAAATGTATAGTAACTTTAACGTAAAGTTCCATTATTTATTCTTACATTTAATAATATTTTATTTCAAACACAATTTTTTGCGAATGTGTTAAAGCAATATAGATTGTTGTATTATTCAGAATATTTAATTTCGTTTTTAAATATAAAAAAAATAACTTGTTTAATTTAATTAATTGTAAAACTATAGAATATTTTTACCGATCGAACTGTAATTGAATAATCAAATAGTTTGAATAATGGAAACATAGTAAATTAGGTAGTTACTATTCATTTTTTCCTATCAGTAGCTTATAATTAAAAGCTCTATAAAAAATAATTAATTACAATCGATTAATCTTTTATAACTTTAGAATAGTTTAACAGGCAATTTAAATGATAACTTTTTCTGAAATATTATAGTTAATAGTTTTCATTTATGTGACACTATTTTTAAACTTATTTAGCTTTTTATTAGATATTTTGATAGAGTTTTAGAATTTAAAGTGTAAAAAAATAATAATCATGGTAAATATACAAGATTATCTTATTTGGTATTTATGGATGAATAAATTAATTAATAAACCTTATACTCTCAATTTAAATTATCATTTATGTAGTGCTTAGTCCCAATAAAACACATAAAGTTCAAATATCCCGAAAGACCGTCTTAATCTGTTTTTCATCTAAAGAACTATGGCATATTTCTTAATCTAATATATCACTTCATGCTAGATTTCCATTTCATAAAACGCCATATTATAAATTAATGTGTCATTACAACCTAATTGATATCCCTCTAAAATAAAACTAAAGTGAATTTTCTATCCGCTTGTAACAGATATTTAACAAAATTTACAAAATATTCACGTTTATTTTATGAGTAATTTATAATCACAATTAGCTGATATGTTACATAGGCTTTAAGATTAATCTAACATATTCGAAAATATTTAATAGACGTCTCAAAATGGTTAGAGTATTATTTTTTTTCACGAGCACAAAAGTGAAAAATTATTAGTTTTGTTATTCTATAAAACGGTAGTTTATAAATGAGTGATGTTATAATAACTCTCATGAATCATAAGATCAGTACGACATTTAATTGCGATAATAAGTATGTAATATTAAGATTTAATGCCTACGATCAGACGTGGGATTATGATACTATTAAGATATTAATTCCTACGATAATTATCATCTTTGTTCAAGATCTATTTTATATAAGACCTTTACGCACTAAACAGATTGTTTGTATCTGCCAACTGTCTATGAGCTTCTATTAAATCCATAATTATTTCATGGTCTTATAATCAAATAGTTATCCATAATAATGATGTATATAATATAAAAATAATATATAAATATATTAATTATCTAATTTTATAAAATCATTCACTTTTTTAGGATATTGTAGAAATTAATATGTGCAGTTTATTTCCAAAACATAATAATTTAAAAATTATTGTACAGCGGAACAGATTTAACTCTTATAAATTTTGATAAAAGTAAAATTTCGTTGTAATTTTTTTTTAAACAATTTTAGCAATCTTAGACTAGGTTAAAAGTATATTTTGTTTTTTATTCTTATTAGTAAAAAAATAAAACTTTTTTTTGAATTTTTAATCTTTCAAAATTGCAAGTCTCTTTTTAGAATTTTTTTTACCAAAAATATTGATGGACTGACAACGAATTAGGATAATTACTTATTGAGTTACAAGCATTTTAAATATACAACAGTACGAGTTGTATCTACTCGCGCTACATACTCACTTTAAGTATTAAAATGCTAGTAACTCAATAAGTACTTATCCTAATTCTTTGTCAATTCATCGATTTTTGGTAATAAATATTCTAAAAAAAAAACTATTTTAAAATTTTTGAAAAGTTAAAACAAAAATGATTATTAAAAATAAATAACAAGAAATAAGCATTTATATTATCAAAAAATTGAAAATTGTTTAAAAAATTAATTATAGCAAAATTTTAATTATATCAAAAGTTATAAGAGTCAGTTAGATTTGTTACACTCCGTATACTTTTATACTATTCAAATTTTTTTTCTATTATATCAATTAGGTTTTTTAATTTAAAGCTTTATAAATTACTTTACTCCATAACAAAAAATAATTATTAAGGAAAACATATAAATAATGTTCCAGTAAAAGTAGTGTAGAATGAAAAGTTTCGATGATTCTACAATAATTGTAAAGCAAAATTAATCTATTATGCTAAAAAAATATTACACATAGTTGCACAAAACTAAAAAGAAAACAATTTTCAATTTTATTGAAATTTTTAAAATAAACGACATTAAACAATATGTAAACTTATTAAATTTCTTGATATAAATTGTGTCATCACAATAATAAGTAATGAAACAATCTAACACTGTAACTTATGAGTAAAAAATTATTGGTTAGTCATTTGGTCAAAATACTGCGTCTTTTTCTGAGACCGAAGTTCAGTTACGTTTGCTCAATTATACAAGTTTTCTTGCCCTATCTAATATAGTAACTTAGTTTCTTCAGTTTTTTGTGACTCATTTAATACAAGACTAATATAAGAAGAGTGACCTTTAATTGACTATATTTTGCATTTGTAAAGACTATGCAAACCTAGTTACATCCAGCTCCATAGTTCCAAACGCAAGCATTAGTGTTTTAGTTTTAGCAGAACATCACATTTTATAAAAACTCAAAATGTGTTGAGAAAAACTTCATTATACAATTATTAACTGAATAGGAATATCGGAATTTGACAATAACATAATTTGATTTTGTAAAATAAAATGTTAAAGAAATCATTGCTTAATTGATTATTTCTACAAGATTTGAAGACATTTGTAAGCTTTCTTATTTGTAAACTTAGATATTGTTAACAACATTACAGTTGTAAACAATATATAAGCTATGAGTACGTTCTCGGACCGGTTCATACAGTTGGTAAATGACTAATTAAACGTTGTCAGTTAAAATAATAACACAACAATATTTTAATTATATTTTGTTTATAAAGTTAACTAAATGTTAAATATTTTAGTTTTTATTTAATTCTTATTTTCACCTTATACAATTACATTTAGGTATAAAAAAAATTTCGAACACACTGAACAAACAATAGCTTCACTTAAAATATTTTAATTTTACATTATATTTGATTTTTTTAAAATAGTTATTACCCTAAGTCTATTTTTTATTTGCTTTTATTCTCTACAGCTATATAAGTTAAACTTAGATAATCAATTATTTTACATTAAAAAATTGTCACATTTTTAGTTCAACTGCAGTATTTTATAAAAATTATTCAATCTAATATAGGGTAACTCATTTATCAAAAACCACTTAATTAATCAAAAAATAATAGTAATATTACGAATTTTTTACTTGCCATTTTTAAGTACAAATTTTTATAATTGATCATTCATTGAGTATATTTTATGATCATTCCAAATACTTTATTTAGGTATTTACTATATTTTTTCAAATGCATTAGGAACTAATTTATTAAATGGACAATGATTTAAATAAGAACAAATAAATATAGACTGGATGTGAGGGCGGATTAAGTTATTTCAATTATTATGTATCACTGTAACGTTTCACTTACAAGAAATATGAGATGGACCTACAAATATTTAATTACATATCATTAAGACATAAATAGTATTAAACGAATTCAAAAGAACATTTAAAATTATTATTCCTTTAGGAGAATTACATACAAAAATTGATAACAATATTTTCAGGATTTTCAAATTTTTTCCTAAATTATAGAACAGAGTTTCAGATTGATCGCATTAACATATTGAAAATAAAATAACTACTTTACTTCTATAATCATAATTTTTTTAGTAGATCGATTACATTTTTTGAATCTAGATATAGTATCAAAATAAAATTATTATCAAAACACTATTCTATTAATAAATATATTGACTTAATATTATTATTTTATTAAAATAATAAATATTTATACAAATATTAATATGACATATAATACAAATTAAAATAGTTAATTACTAGGCCGTTTTAGTAATAGAGGTTATAAACTCATGGTGTAAAAAAAATTTAAATACATATAATAGATTATATTATCATACACATCCTATAAAAAATTATTTGAATAATAAAAAAAACATTATTTTGGATTTCAATATACTTCTACTGCATAGAAAAATAGATTTATACTATTAATATGTATTGTTTTACTAATAAATAAATTATGTAAAATAATAAAAATGATATTTGCGTATGATCATTTTAAAATCTACCTAATATTCAAACTAGTAATTTTAAATATTAGTATTTTTCTATAATGAAATTATATTCTTTTATTTTATTACCTATTTTTTTTTTCGTACTGAAACCAGACGAAGGAGTTCATTGCAATATATATCATGCCCAATATAAAAAATATATCGAAAGAGTAGTGAGTTGCATTTATTTACAAATTATATACAATCAAAAACAAAATTCAAATGGTGAAGAGGAAGCTTTCCAACAATACACAGACCTGCGTGAATTAAAATTAAAATATAATTATACAATAAGTGTACTAAATTTCGAATACACTAAAATAATAAAAAAATTCCTTGAATACTTGGCTATTATCATCCGCAAATGTCACCAATGTCATAAAAATAATTTGCCGGAAAAGTTTGTTAAATGTGTAATATTACTTGAAGATCAAATAAAAAATTCCAAGACTATGTTTGAAAATCTATGCAATGCTATGAAGTTTATAAGCTATATAGATATAAGGTTTTTGTTTTCTGGACGTACCGTACCGCATGCTATAATTGAAGAAATCGATTTTATATATCAATTTGTCTTAGAAATAAGTTTAGAGAACAGGTCTTTTGATCTCAATAAATCACCAAATGAAGAGTCTAAAATAAAATTTGATAATTTTATTAAATTTTATAAAGATACATCTATAATAGTTAAATGTCATATTGTAGATAATAAATATATCGACCCTTCTATAAAAACTCATTTGGAAAATATTGAAATTATTAAAAGCTCTAAGAAAAAGAATTCTTCCGATGTTGATTCGAAACCTCCTAATGAGTTTTACAACGAAACTATCAATATTTGGTACAAAAACTTAGGCTTTGAACAATTTCTTGAACCCATAATAGCTGAGTAAGAATTTCTACATATAAATTTATTTTCTCATTTAAAATTTTTAACATTTTTGCGTAGTTAAAGAAAATAAAAACTAAACAACGACTTATTTATAATATTTATATTTATATTATCTATGTATTTAAGTAGTAATTAAAATTTATATTTTTCAATATAGATTCATACCTCCAATTGATCCAAAAACAAATCAAAATGATGGAATTAAAGCTCTCAATGTTATTCGTAAGGAACCTGGTTGGAAATCAATGAATCACATAAGTATAGTTTATTTTGGTAAACAAATAAGTGTAGCTCGTATAATAAATGATGAAGTTAGTAACATAAATTTTCGAATAAAAAAGGAACATATAACACAGTTTTTAAGATGTAGGTATACAGAAATAATTAAAGAATATCATACAATACTATCTTCTATAATGCATGTATGTCAAAATGATTTACGTAACTTCTATCACAATTGTTTGATTAAATTATTTAACTCATTCAAGGAATCCGAAAAAATGATCGAAGGATTGTATAAAGCTATGGTTGCTTTAAATAGATCATCAATATGGAGTGTTTATTTGAGCTCTAAATCAAGTTTACTTAAGGTTTTTCAATGGGTCACTATTATTCTCAGTTTTTTGAAACACAATAATTTTAATCTAGATAATTTTATGGATAAATATGATAATAAGATAGCTATTATACTTAATGAAAAAGAAACTGAAATCATTGAAAAACTTCTTGACATTTTTATTACATTCTTAAAAGACATTGGTGAACTATTACGCAATGATGTGGCACATCAGGGCACACGGTGTTATACAAATAAACGTTTAAATAAAGTATGGGAACATACAAAAAGTGTTATCAATTCATATAATACATTGAATAATAATAATAATCCATATCTTGGATTATTATCATACGCATGTAGTTATTTAGACAAATTTTGTGCAGACGTTTATAAATCTTGTTATGAAGATTTGGGTTTCAAAAAAATTTTAGACTGTCAACACAAAGAATTACATCAAGATCTCATTCCATATACTGTAGATTTATCTACAGTAGATTTATCAACATAGTGTTCAATGCATAATTAAGGCTAATTATATTTTTATTATAAAAAAATAATTATTTATGAAAACATGTAAATAATGTTCCAGTAAAAGTAGTGTAGAATGAAAAGTCTCGATGATTCTACAATAATTGTAAAGCAAAATTAATCTATTATGCTAAACAAATATTACACATAGTTGCACAAAACTAAAAAGAAAACAATTTTCAATTTTATTGAAATTTTTAAAATAAACGGCATTAAACAATTTGTAAACTTTTTAAATTTCACGTTACGTTTGCTCAATTATACAAGTTTTCTTGCCCTATCTAATATAGTAACTTAGTTTCTTCAGTTTTTTGTGACTCATTTAATACAAGACTAATATAAGAAGAGTGACCTTTAATTGACTATATTTTGCATTTGTAAAGACTATGCAAACCTAGTTACATCCAGCTCCATAGTTCCAAACGCAAGCATTAGTGTTTTAGTTTTAGCAGAACATCACATTTTATAAAAACTCAAAATGTGTTGAGAAAAACTTCATTATACAATTATTAACTGAATAGGAATATCGGAATTTGACAATAACATAATTTGATTTTGTAAAATAAAATGTTAAAGAAATCATTGCTTAATTGATTATTTCTACAAGATTTGAAGACATTTGTAAGCTTTCTTATTTGTAAACTTAGATATTGTTAACAACATTANGTAAGCTTTCTTATTTGTAAACTTAAATATTGTTAACAACATTAAAGTTGTTAACAATATCTAAGTTATGAGTACGTACTCGGACCGGTTCATACGGTTGGTAAATGACTAATTAAATGTTGTCAGTTAAAATAATAATATTACATTATTTTAATTATATTTTGTTTATAAAGTTAACTAAATGTTAAATATTAGCTTCGATGCGAAGCTGAGAAGGTATTGGTTTTACTAAGATGTGTTTTTTTTTTTTTTTGTGTCTGTTATCACATTTTCTCAGCTCTCACCGAACCGATTTCTTTCAATGATACGTCAAAAGATCACAAATAGTATCTATTCGAAGATATTACCCTCAAAAATTGAAAAAAATTTCCTGGTTCCCCTTAAATGGGGGAAACCTCCAAAAAAATTACAAATTTAAAAATCAATAATTTTCGAAATTTTTTCAATTTTTTTTACTTAAAAGTGCCATAACTTTTTCAAAAATGAACATATCAATATAATTCTTTTTTATATAGATGTGTAATATCATTACCTTTCGTTTGGTATATTTTTTTTTTTTATATCTGACCCTTTACCTGCCCACAGAAGGGGATTTAAAATGACAACTTTTTCACAAAAAATTTACTTTTTCAACTTAAATTTTGAAAATGTTCCGGAAGGTCTGACACTTTTATATATATCTTAAATTAAAGCTAATGTAATATTCTTTATTATGCAAAAAAAAATTTCGGACTTTATTTTATCTTCACGGTGAAAATGGCTACCGAATGCTTTTTTTGTGTGAAAATTTTCGATTTTGTATTTTACATTTTCAACTTTATTATGCTATAACTTTTTGAAAAATGTATGGATCAGAACAATTTTTTCATGAGGAGTAGTATTCATATACATCTTTCATTTGACATACTTTTTTTTAAATCCGACTATTTCTCTATATACGAGCGGGGTTCAAATCTAAAAAATTCATGTAGAAAGTAGAACTTTTTCAACTTAAATTTTGAAAGTGTTCCGGAAAGTCTGACACTTTTATATATATCTTAAATTAAAGCTAATGTAATTTACTTTATTATGCGAAAAAAAAATTTCGGACTTTATTTTATCTTCACGGTGAAAATGGCTACCGAATGCTATTATTGTGTGAAAATTCTCGATTTTATTTTTTACATTTTTAACTTTATAATGCTATGACATATTGAAAAGTGTATGGATCAACATTATTTTTTTATGAGAAATAATATTTTTTAATAATCCCTTTTTCATTCTACATACTTTATCTTAATTAGGATATTAATAATGAACTAGATCATGTAGCTTTTGGAGTAATCCACTAATTTTTTAAAATTAAACAGTATCTAAAGATTTGCATCGAAGCGTTTTTTTTTGATAGTGATTTTAATCACTGTCAGATATCATTATACTTGATCCATCTATGCCATGTCACCACTGTACCGCGACCCCCCTGTGCTGGTTTTTTTTTTAATTTACCTCCTTCAATTATGTTTACTGTATATGATAAAGATTTTTTTTTAGTTTTTTTTTAATTCTTATTTTCAGCTTATACCATTACAATTAGTTATAAAAAAAATTTCGAACAAACTGAACAAATAATAGCTTTACTTAAAATATTTTAATTTTTCATTGTATTTGATTTTTTTTAAATAGTTATTACCCTAAGTCTTTTTTTTTATTTGCTTTTATTCTCTATAGCTATAAGAGTTAAACTTAGATAATCAATTATTTTACATTAAAAAATTGTCACATTTTTAATTGAACTACAGTATTATATAAAAATTATTCAATCAAATATAGGGTAACTCATTTATCAACAACCACATAATCAATTAAAAAATAAAAGTAATATTACGAATTTTTTACTTGCTATTTTTAAGTACAGATTTTTATAATTGATCATTCATTGAGTATATTTTATGATCATTCCAAATACTTTATTTAGGTATTAACTATATTTTTTCAAATGCATTAGTAACTAATTTATTAAATAGACAACGATTTAATTAAGAACAAATAAATATAGACTGGATGTGAGGGCGGATTAAGTTATTTCAATCATTATGTATCACTGTAACGTTTCACTTATAAGAAATATCGGATGGCCCTATAAATTATTTAATTACATATCATTAAGAAATAAATAGTACTAAACGAATTCAAAAGAACATTTAAAATTATTATTCCTTTAGGAGAATTACATACAAAAATTAATAACAATATTTTCAGGATTTTCAAATTTTTTCCTAAATTATAGAACAGAGTTTCAGATTGATCGCATTAACATATTGATGATAAAATAACTATTTTATTTTCATTTAAATAATTATTTTTTTGTATTTTAATTACTTTATTTGCCTAAGATAAAGTATCAAAAAAAAATTATTCTTGTAAGACAATTCTATTAATAAATATATTGACTTAATATTATTATTTTATTAAAACAATATATATTTATACAAATACTAATATGACATATTATACAAATTAAAATAGTTAATTAGTAGGCCGTTTTAGTAATTGAGGTTATAAACTCATGGTTTAAAAAAAATTAAAAAACATATTATAGATTATATTATCATACACATCCTATACAAAATTATTTGAATAATAAAAAAAACATTATTTTGGATTTAAATATACTTCTACTGCATAGAAAAATAGATTTATTCTATTAATATGTATTGTTTTACTAATAAATAAATTATGTAAAATAATAAAAATGATATTTGCGTATGATCATTTTAAAATCTACCTAATATTCAAACTAGTAATTTTAAATATTAGTATTTTTCTATAATGAAATTTTATTATTTTATTTTATTACCTATTTTTTTTTTCATATTGAAACCATACGAAGGAGTTCATTGCAATATATATCATGCCCAATATAAAAAATATATCGAAAGAGTAGTGAGTTACATTTATTTACAAATTATATACAATCAAAAACAAAATTCAAATGGTGTAGAGGAAGCTTTCCAACAATACACAGACCTGCGTGAATTAAAATTAAAATATAATTATGCAATAAGTGTACTAAATTTCGAATACACTAAAATAATAAAAAAATTCCTTGAATACGTGGCTATTATCATCCGCAAATGTCACCAATGTCATAAAAATAATTTGCTGCAAAAGTTTGTTAGTTGTGTAATATTACTTGAAGATCAAATAAAAAATTCCAAGACTATGTTTGAAAATCTACACAATGCAATGAAGTTCATAAGCTACATAGACATAAGGTTTTTGTTTTTTGAATTTGAAGTGCCGCATACTATAATTGAAGAAATCGATTTTATATATCAATTTGTGTCAGAAAAAAATTTAGAGAATAGCCCTTTTGATCTCAACAAATCATTTAATCAAATATCTAAAATAAAACTTAGGAATTTTGTTAAATTTCTGAAAGATTCAACTAAAATAGTGAACTCTCTTACTGAACATAATAAATACATAAACCCTTCTATAAAAACTCATTTGGAAAATATTGAAATTAATGAACGCTCTAAGAAAAATAACTCTTCCGATGTTTATTCAAAACCCCCTAATAAGTTTTACAACGAAACTATCAAAATTTGGTACAAAAACTTAGGCTTTGAAGAATTTCTTGAACCCATAGAAGCTGAGTAAGAATTTCTACATTTAAATTTATTTTCTAATTTTAAATTTATTTATTTTACGAATTCTAAATTTTTAGACATTTTTAGGTTGTTAATGTGAATGGAAACTAAACAATGTCACATTTATAATATTTAAAATTACTTTATTTATACAGGCTGAACCCATTCAATTACTTACTGAATAAATATATATAAACATTTTTTTTTTTTGTTTATCTTTAGTTACACATTATTCTTGAATTATTAATTATGTAATACTTTTGAAGTTCATCCCTTATGCCTTGTATTGGGATCAACTTTGTTTTTTTAAATGGAAACACATATTTTTAATTTAATAAAATTGTTGAGTTTTTAATTTAATAGTAAATGTCATTTGAATTTTTAATATAACTTTATTCGTTTATTAGATATAAACAATTAAGGTTTCAAATTTTTGAGTTTATATACATGTATAAAACACAAGGTATTACAAATACAGGTAGCTAAATGATTCTTATGACATCGCTGTCACAGTCACGTATTGTTTATTACCAATTATGGCTAGAAATAAATATACTTTTTATATAGCCAATTAGTGTATTTATGAATTCTCAACAATGCACCTTACTACTATTGCAAATAACAATGTTGTGTACCTGCGAATATTGATGTCATAAAAAACCAATTAGCTACCTGTATTTGTAAATACCTTGTGTATTATACATGCATATTAACTCAAAAATTTAAAAGTTTAAAAGTTTATATCTAATAAACGAATAAAGTTATAATAAATATTCAAATGCCATTTACTATTAAATTAAAAACTCAACAATTTTATTAAATTAAAAATATGTGTTTCCATTTAAAAAAACAAAGTTGATCCCAATACAAGGCATAAGGGATGAACTTAAAAAGTATTACATAATTAATAATTCAAGAATAATGTGTAACTAAAGATAAACAAAAAAAAAAAATGTTTATATATATTTATTTTGTAAGTAATTGAATGGGTAATAATAAAAATATCACTGTATATTTACATATTTTTTTTTATTTTTTTTTACAACCGTCAGGTGGGTTAATACCATTGGTATATCCTGGGGAAATTTAAGTACACTGGTTTCCCGTTGCCTTTTGTACTTGGAATATGGTGCTTTTTCACCATCGTAGAAGCGCACGCATGGTCACCCATCCGTTCACTTATAGCGGTAGGCGCAGCTTAACACTAAAGTTGTTTCAACCATCAGTGTGACCACAGCGCCACACCACGCCCACTTACATAATAATGAATATTTATCATTTTTTATATAGATTCATACCTCCAATTGATCCAAAAACAAATCAAAATGATGGAATTAAAGCTCTCAATGTTATTCGTAAGGAACCTGGTTGGAAATCAATGAATCACATAAATATAGTTTATTTTGGTAAACAAATAAGTGTAAATCGCATAATAAATGATGAAGTTAGTAACATAAATTTTCGAATAAAAAAGGAACATATAACACAGTTTTTAAGATGTAGGTATACAGAAATAATTAAAGAATATCATACAATACTATCTTCTATAATGCATGTTTGTCAAAATGATATACGTAACTTCTATCACAATTGTTTGATTAAATTATTTAACTCATTCAAGAAATCCGAAAAAATGATTGAAGGTTTGTATAAAGCTTTAGTTGCTTTGAATAGATCATCAATATGGAGTGTTAATTTTAACTCTAAATCAAGTTTACACAAGCTTTTTAAATGGGTGACTATTATTCTCAGATTTTTGAAGAACAATAATTTTAATCTAGATAATTTTATGGATAAATATGATATTGAGATAGTTATTATACGTAATCCAAAAGAAACTGAAATTATTAAAAAACTTCTTAACATTTTTAAAACATTCTTAAAAGACATTGGTGTACTATTACGCAGTGATGTGGCACAACAGGGCGCACGGTGTTATACAAATAAACGTTTAAATAAAATATGGGACTATACAAAAAGTTTTATCAATTCATTTAATACATTGAATAATAATAATAATCCATATCTTGATTGGCAATTACAAATTTATCTTAACGCGTGTAATTATTTTGACAAATTTTGTGCAGACGTTTATAAATCTTGTTATGAAGATTTGGGTTTCCAAAAAATTATAGACTGTCAACACAAAGAATTACATCACGATCTCATTCCATATACTGTAGATTTATCAACATAGTGTTCAATGCATAATTAAGGCTAAGTTATAAAAATATAAAAACGTATAGTAACTTTAACGTTAAGTTCCATTATTAATTCTTACATTTAATAATATTAAAATAAAGTAATAGAAAACGTATAATTTTGTATTTTATTTGAACGAAAAAAAACTTTATTGAGGACTGATCATAGTCCATTTTCTCATTATATAAATTCTTTTAGAGCAACCACTAAAAATTGTCAATGGAACTATTCGGTATTATGTATTTGATGACAAAAGTTTTGGCGATAATACAAAGTATATGATATTAATAAATATTATTTTATTTCAAAACAATTTTTTGTGAATGTGTTAAAGCATTATAGATTGTTGTATTATTCAGAATATTTAATTTCGTTTTTAAATATAAAAAAAATGACTTGATAAAAAATTGTTATTTATTTTAAAGCTATATTATTAGCTTCACCTCTATGGAACGGCTCAATATCGTTCTTGTTATACTTAATTATCAATTATAATAATCACCAATTAGTATCACTATAAATTTGAAATATTTGTTCTACACTATTATTTGAAACCAGTTGCTCAAATTATATGTTTCATAATTAAACATTATTTAATAAACTAATCATAGGTAAATTGAATAAAATCATTCATTAATTATAATTGATTGTGTTAATCTACGTGTTCATTAATTATTGAACATGTTTATAAATTTTCTATACGTTTTGTATTGTTTATACGTTTTCAGGGTTACACACGTGCACACCACACACACAAACCACAATTCTTTTTTTATAGTAAATTATTATCTTATATTATCTTTATCTTCTTTTTAAGAAAAAAGTTGTCCTTTTATAATTTCTTAATTATTCACTATATTTTAGCCATAAGGGCTGGCATTGTTCATTTATTGTAGTCTTCTGTGATATTTTATAATTATTCTTTATAAATTTTGCTTTGAAATTTATGTTCTGAGTGTTCAGAAAAACTTGTGTGTTATAGTAATTGTATGTAAATGTAAACTGTGTCTTTGTTATAGAAGTTGCTGACCAGTTACAATTATTATTTTTGTTAAAATAACTTTAACTTTTGTTAAAGTTGTTTAAGTTACCTTATTTGATAGTGATTTATTGAGCAGTTTTTGGATTTTGTATAATTTTTTTCATATTCAATTTATTATTCTCTTTCATTGTTGACAGAAGGCCAACATTCAACGGCTCTAAGAGCTTTGCAAATATTTTTTAGTCATTTATTCAGAAGGGCTAATTGTTTAATTATACTTTGGTGAATTTTAAATTATTGTCTTTTTTTTGCTATTCAATTTCCTGCTATTATAAGTGACCAAATCAAAATTTAGTTACCATTATTAGTTCCTAATTATCATTTAATTTAAATAATTATTTGCACATTAAGCTATAAGGACTGAATTTATAGATTTTATGTTAATGAAATATTATTCACCGTTGTAATTTATATTAATTTTTTGGTTTTTGAAATCATTTGTTTATATTATAAATTACATTTATTTACAAAAGGAAGGAGTCGGCCATATATTTTATTAAGAGAATTATAAGATTTTTTATATTTTTGTTGAATTCTATTTAGAATTGAAATTTGTTAATTATTATTATTGAACTAATCTATTGCTGTCATTGATTGCTATAGAGTTTATAGTTATTTATTTTCATTATTATTGTTGAGCCAACAGGGCTAAACTGAATTTTTGTTATTTATTTTTAGAGCCAGAAGGGATAAATTTATCTATTCAACTTATTTACTGAAAACATTATTATTAATTATTGTAAAACATTTGAATTATTTGTTTATTTAGTTTAAGGGTACCTACATATGTACACACTTACACATTTATTCACAACATAGATCACTGGATTTATGCAGGCGAACCCTCCCACTTCCAGTGACTATTTACACAGCATTACACTAAACAAGCCTGATAGGTATTATGTGATTTTAACCGGTTCGGGTACGCACTATAATATTTAGAGTCTATGTCTTTAACAAATATATTAAATTTATACATAATTTTAATAAAATTTAAGCACAAAAATTTTTTTTCTTACTCTATAATACTTAAGCCATTAGTGCTCATTTTCGTGCATCAAAAATAAAAAAATGAAAATGATACGAATCACAGAATAATTTACTTTTTCATTTATTTTACACAAAATTCGTTGGTGTTCATGAATATTATTACATTTTTAATATAGTTCGTTACTTTAATTTACGCGTTTTCAATCATATTTGGTTCTTTTTACACAATATAAAAGGTAAAACGCTAGTTCAGATTTCAAGGGTTAACATGAATGTAACATGAATGAAAAAAGGGGAATTCTTGTTATATTGCAATTTGTATGTTTTAATATACAGAATTTCAGTTTTCAATAAAAAGGCTTTTGGTTTTATGTGTCACGTTATATAATTAGCACGTTAAATTTTTTTTCTCGTTTGTTACTCTAATACGATTATAATATTTTATGGGTGCAACTACTTTTGACACAAGATTAGACAATAAAAACTCGCGTTACTTTACTTATTAAAATAAATGTGTACACAAGAGGTAATATTGACTAGAAACTATTTCCAGCTAAAAATTAATTAACGTTATTTCTTAAAACGTTTTACTTCAAATATTAATTAACTATAAATAATATATACAAATAAGAAAATACTTTGTAATTTCCCAAATTGCTGACGACACAAGGTAGAGAAACATCTCTTCCCACGGGTATCGTAACGTTCAGTATAGGCTCCGCAAACTGGGGCTTTTCAAACACCGACAAAACTGTAACATTAAAAAATGAAAATAAAAATATGAGTATGAAAAGTTATTTACTTTTTAAACAAATGTTAATAAATAAACGACTATAAATATTAAATACGAGAAAAGCCCAATGTTTATGTTTTAATCTATTCGCTTTTAATAAAATATTCAAGTTTATTGCTAGAGAATAACGCACAAGTTACTGGCTAAAAAAAAATTGAAAATGCAACAGTTACACTACTAGCGCATCATGAATAAGTACTGACAATTTATGTATTATGATATGCGCTGTGCATTGTGCAGTTAACGCTCAGGGTTAATTTTATACGATCATAGTATCTATACAATTATTTCTTGTAATTAAGCTTTAGTTATTAACCTATAAAGTACTCTACAGTTTGATTCAAAGGTTTACATATACATATATATATATATTGATAATCAAATAAACACTCAGATTATTTAAAATAGAGTATTTAGTTTTTAAATGAAATATTTATTAATTATCAATGTTAATCTTACTCCATAAACAAGAGTTAAAGCTATAATAAAGTTTAGCTTTTAACGTTAGACATAATAATCTATCTAAGTTGTAAAAATATACATACTAAAACGTTATAACTTAAAAAATAATTTAAATTTAATGGAATTTTTCATAATAAGCAAACCCTACAACATTATTTATAGGTGGACCGTTTATAAGGCAATACAAGTCTTCTATCATCAGTTGTCATATACAATGTGTTCAGTAAGTGAGGAAACAGGTAAATTATCATAAACAATGAGAACAATAGAAATTTGATTCCTTACTTACTGAACATTTTATATATAAAATGATCGTGCTCAAATGTTGATATTATTTTTAAATTCTACAATAAAATACTGTAAACTAAATTTTTTAAAACGATTAAATCTAACCAAAAAATTAATTTTCTACTTAGGAGCTAATCAATTGTTAGATACATTCAAAAATTGTTCTTAATTTACTAAAAAGTCACCAAACAATAAATGATCTAATTCGGTAATAAGGTTTTAACCCTATTAATTATTGTATGCTAGTTTTTAGAAGTGAAGAGCAAAAAAAAGTTATGTAATTCTAGAGAAATGTGTAACGATTGTATAGCTATAAAAAATTTTATCCAATTTATTTTATTTTTTTGACTTGGGCGATACTGTATTATGTGACTATTAATTGTTAAAAACTGTAATAAAATTCATTATATACTTCATTTAATATTTACATTACTTCAGTGTATTTTCATAAAAATTTACAATTAATATGATTCAAATTAGATTATTCGCATAGGAGTTTTATACAGAATAATTCACATATATCTTATGTAAATAAAATGCTAATAAAAATGTTTAAATAAGTTATTAAAAATGAATTTAAAGGTATACAATTGGACCCGATATTTTTTGTTTGAATTTTTAGTTAGTCACGGTGTTATTGAATAAAAAGTAAATATATTTTTAAACCCGTTAAAATTTAATTAAAACTTGTTATTTATACTTTTAAGTATAAAAACACGAAACAATTTGTGTCGTTAAACATTTTTTTTTCTATGGCAGTATTTTTATAGTCTTACGATAAAAAAATATTTTTGATATTGCAATTTTTTACTAGGAATTATCTATTCAATTATGTTTTCTATTTGCAATATTGTTGTGGAAAAGTAATTTTGAACAATATTTTACCCATAAAATAAAATGAAACAATCAAATGAAAATTTAGAATAGGTAAAAGCTTCATTGACTACGTGCAAATAGTGCCCAGTGTCTGTAACATGTTTATTACACCACCGGATAGGATGAGCGCACAACGCCATGTAGTGTGTGGGTACGCTTCCTATTTATCTGGAGATTAACGTTACAGCCGTAACCACTGTTTTACTCATAGTTCTTTAGTTAATGTAGTTTTTATGACCACCGTAAATAAGTTGCTATGACTGTTATTTTAACAAGTGGGATTGCAAAGGTAACGGATAATAATCCTCTCTCGTTAACATTTGGCTCCGGGTAAGGATAAATACGTATAGACGAGGAGGTGATGTTACCGAACAGGGTTGGCGTTAGACAGTTGATCAACAAAATGGTCTCTTGTAATGAGGACAAACGATCCGACGTACAAAAACCATCTGGTTCCATAACATTGTTCTTTCCCTTTTTTCTACTCAACTTACAGGTCACATTATAAAAGCTCGCGTTTACAAGTTATTGTAATTTAGACGCTTAACCATGACTTTTTACACTTCAGAGGCTGCGTGTTCACTTGCAAATTGTTTACACAGCCATGCTAGATTAATAATACCGGAGCACCTGAGCAAGTACATCTTCAAAACCAAAGTTATTATAAAAATGTTTGACAATTATTTCTATCATTAAAAGTTATCGCTTACTAAAATTATGTCTACAAAATACTATTTTAGATTTCGGGTGAGAATAATTAATCTGTAGCATTGGGATATTTTTGGTATTTACTTCTTTACAAGTTAAAAACAGTAAACAAATATTTTATGAATAAAATTCATAGAAATTTAAAATTGTATATACTACCACCAAACAGTTACTGTCAATATTATAATTTTTATTAGACTCTAAATTTACTTTAGAAGTAAATCTATTTACACTGACGGAAACTGCTCGCATTTGCCTCTGGTATGGTTTTTAGAGCTTTTCATCGTCATCATTCATTGTTAACCTATACAGAGTATTTTTGAACTAAAATTACACGCTGATAGATTGTACGACTAATCAGAAGCCTAATTATAAAATCGAATTTTCGAGACCTAAAAAATATTCAATGACTCAAATTTTACTATGTGATCAACGGTACATTTTTTTTAATGGAAAGCATTATAACAGATTAAATAAATGTTTATACAAGACGATTATTTTATCATTGACCATTTAAATAATACACAAGTAAAAATTATATTAATAAAATTTTTGTTGGTTTCTTTTAGTAGCATTTTTTTTTACTAAATTAGAGGTAAAGAGTAGGTGATACTACCTTATCTCTAGACATTTCTTGGCCTGACTCCTCTTTCCGTCCAAGTATAAAACCTTCTTAAATATTTGATCAAAAATTGTTATCGACCAGTCATTTTCTTAATTATATCATTATCTAATAAATAAGTTAGTTAATTATATTTGTTCCAGTTAAGAAAAAAAATGAAAAACAATTACTCCATTCTTTTACATTTCCCCCTATTATTAATTAATATATTATAAGATTTTAAGGAATTTCGTATAGGCATAAGTTCGGGCAAAGTATTGTGGTAAAGTTAGGAACTCCTCATGTCTAATTTATATCATTCCACTAAAAATAAATCTAACGTGGAGAATGTTTATTTGTATAAACGATAGTTCAATATTTGTAAGAATGTATAGTTATTTAGAACATAATAATATTAATAATTTTATTAAATATAATAATATGTACTGGACACATACCGAGTATTTGTTAAAAAAAATTAATTTTCATACCTATTAAATACGTATTTAATGAATATGTTAAAAATGAACTTTAATAAAATAAAAAAACAAGTTATAATGAAATAAAATATGCAATAAAGTAACTACAAGAACTTGAATAAAATAATAGCATAGGTATTATTAAAAACAGATATTTGCAATTTAGAATTGATGAGGTTCTAACATTAAACATTTTCCATTGAAGTTTCGAAATATAGTTACAAAATTACAAATTGCATTTATTGACTTAAGAATATCAAATAGGACATTTTTTTAAAATGTATTTATGTTTAATGTAATGATTTAGATTTGAATTCGGCTTAAAAAATATAAAATAATATAATAAGTGATAATAAAATTAATCATAGCCGTAAAAAAATAAGAATGTCTTCAATTTATTTTTATCATTAATAAAAAAAATGACTAATAAAAATTGAATTAATTTTAAGTAATACTTTACGACTTTTACAAAAGTCATTACAAAAATATAGGAATATGTAATGGTACTGAAAAATCAAATATTAAAAATTGTTACTTTTTCATACTTTTGTTAAGCTTTTATAGGTAGAAGTTATAGTTTTGCAATTGATATTTGAATTTATATATTATGTAAATTAATTTCTTTATAATATTTTAAGTGAAAAAATGTATTAAAATATCAACAAATATTAGTTGCATAATTTTAATAACTATCCATGACAGTTGAACAATATTAACATTAAAATTGCATTAACTACATTATCTATATTCTTAATTATTTTTATAATTATTTCTATAATTCAATTATATATTTAAAAAATTACCACAATATAAACATGCATTAAACCTTTTCTAACATGACACATTTAAAAGCCTATTACTTATATATTAACTGTATTCACCAACCTACTTATAAGCTTATAAAGAGAATTCATTGTTGTAGAATTTCAATAGACCCTTTTTAAAAACTGCATAGCTTTAAAAATGGTAACTTTTTTATAAGTTAAAAACTCAAATGTAATTTCAAATCTTTAGTGTTTTTACAACTATGCCCACTGTTCGAAAGATGCTTTCAACATAATAAAATGGCCACTTAATATTTCTTTTGAAATAAATGGATTAATTTGCTAAAAAAAGTTTTTTTTTCTCTTGTAAAATGAATATTAATTTTAATTTATGACTATCTCAAAAATGACTTAAATAATTTAAAGAAATTTTTTCATGGTAGAATAATCCAATTACTGTAATTTAAATATTCTTAAGCGTAAAATATATTATTATATTGGTATTTTTTTATTATTATTGAAGAGTATAAATAACAAAAATATTACAAAAAATTCAATAATATTGTATGTAATGACTTTCTATAGCTAATAATTTAGATTGGATAAAATGATTTTCACATTATATTAAAATAATGAAAAACTTTTGTCGACTCTTAGGGCACTTTTTAACAGCTAGCCTCAGGGGTCTTACCAAAATAATAATTGAAACAACGTACATAAATAAAAGAATTCCTGAAATATGGTTCTATAACGAAATTGCAAAACAAGGGCTTTTCATAT